GGTTTCGGCCATCCTATTTTTGTAACTGCTGGCTAGTCTAGAGGTCCTAGCGCAGTTTTCGGGGGGACGTGTAGGGATGGCCGGAAGGGTTTAATCGAAAGAGCTCGGGTAATCGGCGGCGAGGTCACCCGAAGCGTCATTCGGAGGCGCTTGATGTCTCGAGTTTTTCTCTTTGGCGGCAAGCGGCGGCCAGCTCCCGAAAGTGGAAGCAGATTTCCCCGCGTGGGGAGTGAACAAAACCTTCGTTCTCCAGGCGGGAGTGGGTGGTCGCCCTTGCCGCCGTGGTAATTGGGGGGGCGACCTTGTCAGGGCCATGTCGGCGACTTCGGGGGAGAGAGGGAGGTCCGGTCTCCCTTCGGAATGTCGGTGCGCCTTTTTGGAGAAATTGATAGCATCCTCGATCATCCGCACCGGTGCGCACCGGGGCACTGGGGTGCGCCCCTTCATCTTCGATCAAGTGCACCGGTGCGCACCGTACGTCCTCGATCAACAAAGCGCACCCTCCCGGTGCGGCTTTCGTTGCCCCAACGCGCACCAAGAAAATCGGCGGTGCGCCGGGGGGCAGTCCCATCAGGCATTGCGGCCAGGAGTGGGAATCGAGAAGATGGCGGGAGTAGCAGACGCGCAGACTGTCGAGATGGCGATCTTGCAAAAACGAACACGCCTCGCAGCTGCACTAGATGATTTCCTCGGGTCTTCTGACGGCGAGACGACGAGCTTCTCACCCTCGCCGCGATTACTGGCGATTGCTGCGGTAGCAAGGAGCGCCCGAAAAGCACGAACTTCGTGGAAAGCGGCGCGAGGCGTTTCGATGACAGCGAGGTACGGCTATTATCTTGAACTAATAATGATGGCCAACATATACATGTGGAATTGCCACCCGCTTCGTGACCCCATCGACAATCACGTCCACGATGTTTATTTCTGTGGGACCGTCAAATCCGCGAGTAAATAAATAGAAGAAATTGACAGCAGACGGGCACCGTGCGCTGACCTACGCAAAATAAACGAACAAAACGCGAAGTGACGCAAGGTGGAGCTCGCCGCGGTGCACCGGCGCGGCGCAGTTTGTCCTCGATGTTGCACCGACATCGCGCTGCACGACCGAGGAGCGCTGTGCACTGTGCTGGTTTCAGGGCGATTCCGGCGCGAGTTGATCGAAGATGCTATGAGTCTGAACAAGCCCGTGCGCGGAGCAAGACGTTATTCTCCCGCGGTCCAGAGGGCTCCGCGTATTCTGTCTGGCGAGACAGAGGCCTTGCCGTGCGCGGCAAGGAACTTGGCGCCGAGGCGCCATTGTTGGCGTTGGGTTGCCGCGAGCGGCATCAGGAGCGCGACGCTTTCCTGTTTTGTTTTGTAAAGAGTTGTTCGTCATTCGTAAATATATATTTATTTACTCAATCAACGAGTCGTGAGCGTCACTGAAGCCACCGGAAAAAAGCCACCCTCCAGCCAGCGCAGCACTCCACGATCGAAACGACCCTAGTAGCACCATATGTTGCCATAACGTGACTGGAATGTCACAAATGTAATGTAACGTTGGGGCACATTTGGGTATGTTATAGCAATGTTTGAAAACTAATGTAACAGAAACGTTCTCCTGTAACATTGTTTGAATGTAACCGAACGTCATGTAACGTTACATCACATAGGCAAACGTTCCAGGAATGTTAGAGAAGCAACATTGGAGCAACGTTTAGAAATAACCTCTTGGTAACATTTCCATCCTGACATACGGGCAATGTTATGCAGCGATGTTGGCCTAATGTGACGAAATGTGACGCATCACCACATCACGCAGAGGCTGGTCGAGGATACACGAAGATACCAAACTTATAATAGTTCAATGTTGATTCTCTTGTTCAAACATTTTTATTTTTTTACAAACAGAAAGACCGCTCTAATGCTTGGGACGGGCGTGTTTGAAACAAATGTTCAAAATGTACCCTGGAAAGATTGCAGAAAATTAAAAAAATATCTGTCCAAAAGGTTTATGATAAAATTGAATTCATTTGTGTGTGTGGCATTTCCTTGCTTCCTTCCTGCCCCTTATTAATGGGTTGGCGAGTCTGCTCAATATTCACGAGCTAGCATGCACCCTCATCATAGCTTTTAGGTTAAGGTCATTCGAAAGTCCAACTTTTGGAACGCATGCTAAAGATAACAAGAGGGTGAAGTCATGGGGTGTTATTCTGTTATCAAAGGTGGAAAACTCACGCTGGGGACGCGACGACCCAAAGACCTCCCGAACATGTATAGGATGGCATGAGAGTCGTAGCCTGTAAATTAATTTGGAACACGTAGCTAGCTAAAATTATCACCAAAAGTGTATTTTAGTTGTCTGCTCTATTGCAATATTTTCGAAGCGTAGCTCTGTTTCTGTGAAAAATACGAACATGATTACCCTACGGCCAGGTCGCAGAGAGCTCTTGGGGTCGACCGACTGCTCTATCCGACCCGAGCTTGCTGCAAAATGATTTCTACTATTTAAAATAGAAGCGAGGACTAATTTCACGACGGACTCAGATCAAATCGAGCGACTGGGTGGTTCTTATTCTCGCCCTGTCTCGGTTGTCTGCGCCAGTGCTTGCCATAGAGATTTAGAGAAATCTTGGAGCGTGCAGTATAAGATACACCCTGGTTGAAAATTTGAAATAGTTACATGCAGAAGCTCATATTTCAGTCCAATTTACAGCTCAGCACTCTATTCGGAAAACTCAAAAAGTGGCGGCTCATTGCAGCACAACTGCAAGTGAGACGACTGGCGGTAGCCATTGTCTCATAGACAGAGGAGGGGAAAAGGGAGACGGTTGAGGGGGAAGGTGAGCGATGAGATGGGAAGGAGAATAGAGGCAGGAAGAAAGAGGTCAAGTATGAAGGTCGAAGGCCAAAAACACACGCTCACACAAGGAAGAGAGGAGACAAAAGGAAAAGGGGAATGAGGATGAGAGGCTGAGGGAGCATGAAGAGAAGTGGGGCAGGGAGGAGCAAGATCAGACAGAGGAGAGAGGAAAGAGGGGAGGAAGAGCACACAGAGGGAATATGAGACCAATGGGGAATGAGGAGATGGCACGGGGTGGGGCCAGGTAAGACGTAAAACATCGCAGGTCATAGGCCTCGGTTGCATGGACACAAGATCACACCTCCCCGACCACTCAAAATGAAGAGCCATATGCAGCTGCCACCAAAAAGAAAAGGTCAAAGGCCATGAACATAGAATCACTCCAACGAGAGAGAAGGGGGAAGAGGGGAGGAAAGATGAGTAGGATGGGTAGCGGGAAGAGGAAGGTGGGCAAGAGAGTAGAGGAAGAGGGGAGGGAGGAATAAGGACACCGAGGAGATAGAAGGGGAGATGGCGAGGAGGAGCAGTCAAGGGTCCGAAGTCGAGATCAAAGGTCAAAGGCAACGAACATATAATCGTATGAAGGTGGGGAAGGGGGGGCCACAAACATTAAATCATGCGAGGAAATGAGGAGTGAAAGGTTAGAAAAGGCAACATAGGAGAGATGGGACGGGAATGGGGTGAGATTAAAGAAAAGTGAGTGAGGGGGGGGGGGGGGGGGGGGCAGGTAGGAAGGAGATCTAGCATCAAGGGCCACGGATACAAGGACGCACTCCGCCGACCACTCAAAATGAAGGGCCCCAAGGGGGGAGGCACTCACTTTATCGAGTGACGTGTTAGCGAATGTCCACGTTTCACCGAATGACACTTTAGCGAAAATTCGGACGCTGCGAAGCGGCGTTTTCGGGTGGGCCAAGTGGGTTCACATTTGAGTAAAGCTATACGCACTCCGGAGTGCGCTTCGGACGGAAATGGCTATACGCACTCCGCTTTTCTCGTATAAAAAGAGTGGACACAACAAGTTTCTTAAGCGGTGCCATGGCGTAGTGGTTAGGGTGTCCGCTTCATACGCAAGTGGACGCGAGTTCGATCCGCGGTGAGCCTACTTTTTTTTTTTCTTTTTCTCAAACATTTTGTTTTGTCGAGGCATTTGGCGATATTTACGACATTTCCTTTTTTGCAATGAACAGTAAAAAAAAAAAAAAAAAAAAAAATCGAATGTTGTCGAGAAACTTTGCAGAACTAAATGGTATCGGACTCCCTTTCCGGAGGTGCGATCGGGGACAGCGGGGCTTGGATTGCCGGCTGGACGCCGCGAAGCGGCGTGTACTGGTTACGCTTAGTAATTAGCAGCCGATACTGTCGCCGCGAAGCGGCGTGAACGCAGGCGGGGGGCTGTGTTAACGAGCGCCCCAGTGATTCACGCGCCGTTCGAAAAGGGTGACCCGAGCGGCATGATCTCTCGGAGGAGTGCGTATAGCCATTTCCGCGCGAAGCGCACTCCGGAGTGCGTATAGCTTTACTCTTCACATTTTTGTAATGAGCCGCCGCAGACTCGCCGCGCGGCGGATGGGTTAACGCGCGCCCCCGTTATTCGCTAAAACGTCGATTCGCTCAAATGCCGCTGTTTGCTAAAACGTCATTCGCTCATCTAATATGGACCCTAATTATAATGAAACGAGTATAATCGCACACACATTGTTAGCCCCCGTTCACTTCTCGCCAAAGAGCCGTCGACACGAGAACATATTTGAGCTTGAGGCTTCGAAGCTCGCTCTGCGTGGACCACTCTTTGCCTACATTTGTTATCTGGACACATCACAATGGCACAGCACAGTCGCATAGCTACGGTACTACCGTTTCGATGTTAACAGTTCACTATCGTTACCGATATTACGGTCGAGGTCATCCACTGATCACTGCAAGACGTTCAAGATCGCCATCGTCCGCCATGATTGCACACTAGTACGGCATTACGGTTATGGCTGTACGGCTTAGACCAATTTCCAAGTTCTCCAATCAATGTAATGTTTTATAACTCTTAAAAAAAACTTATTTTAGTACTATCATATAAATTTCCACAGTTTATTCCTACTTGAAACTTCATGTTTAGTCGTTTACTCGTTTACGCACACTGTTGACAAGCCAAGATGCCAAGAGTGCAAGTAGCTCAAGCCAAGCAAGGTCGAAGCCAGGTTGACCACGTGACCGTATGTCAACGGACCGTCAAGGCCTGTTTCATCGGACCGCTCTGCCGATCTCTCGGCGTGGAGGAAACGTAAACAAAGGTATGTTTCATTTTCGTTGTTGTTACTACTTGTGCTGAACAATGGAGCGGGCGAAGTGTTCGCTATCAGAGCTATCCGATCGCCAAAAAAGACGTAGAGTAGCCGAAAGTGTTCGCAAGGAACTTGAAAGTTGCGGTACGAGCAGTGAGGAGTCTGTGGACACTGAGGAAGCATACCCTCTTGCACCTGTACAACAGGCCGTGGCAGCACATGCAAGTTTTCCCGGAGAGTTTGAATACCAACGAGCTTCCGAGTGTGAATCTGAGTCGAGTGATACGAGTGGTGCACGAAATAACCTAATCTCAGAACACCTGTGTCAAAATCCCCGCTGCGAATTCCCCGCGTTACCTCCCCCTCTTCAAAATCCCCGGCCTTCAAAACCCCCTTTCCTTTATCCCCTTATCAGTTCCCCCGGGCCAGTGGTCCTTAGAAACCATTTGGAAAAGCGCTTTTATGGACACTTCATAAAGCTGAGCTGTGTTATGACCATCCTAGCCAGCCCCAAATTTTCTTTGACACACTGTGATCTTGCAGAATCTCTCTTGAGAGAGTTTGTTTCTGGAGCTGGTACCTTGTATGAGGGGGTTTATGTCTACAACATGCACTCCCTGATCCACCTGACAAGACGTTCGACGGTTCGGCCCTGTCAACACCTTCTCGGCCTTTCCCTTTGAGAACTTCCTTGGGAAGCTCAAGAAGTTGGTGAGGGGTCCTTCCTTGGCGCTGCAGCAGGTTATCAAGAGGCACTCAGAAGTGAATTCCACCACCGTGTCAAGTTCTGTGCAGCAGAAGTGTGCTCTGCTCAAGCAACAACCTGAGCCGCCAAGCTTCAAGAAAACCCAGTGCAGTGAGCTTGTTTTAGACGGAGCACATTTCTCTCTGAAGGCGTCCGACAACTGTGTTCAACTGAAGTATGGCAACATTGCTGTTGTTAGGAACTTCATTGAGTCAGATGGGAACTGTAGCATCTGCGGACAGTTTTTCCGAAATCTCGGCAACCTTTATACTTCAAAGCTGCCATCATCAGAGCTAGGAATTTGTAGAGCTACAGGGCTCTCCATGCAGTATTCAGTGGGGAGTGTGCAGGACATCAGGTGGAAGTGCGTCTGCTTGCAATATAACCAGGGACATGATTGTAAACCTGAGACTGGGGCAGAAAGGAGAACACAGCAGAAGGTAGAAAAAGAGGAGGCAATGTCTCAAACTCAGCTGCAAAGTTTATTTCGTACACGCCTTATATACCACAACTCCAACGCTGTCTCTACAAAAAAAAAAAAAAAAAATATGACAAGAGGACAATGAAATTTGGGTAAACCTTCTCTTATCTCCCTTGACCTCTCCTGCGAAACACACACACAAAGGGTCACATTCCAGCATAACCACCGCCATTCGGCGTTGGAGTTGTGGTATATAAGGCGTGTACGAAATAAACTTTGCAGCTGAGTTTGAGACGTTGCCTCCCCTTTTTCTACCTTCTGCTGTGTTCTCTTTTCTGCCTCAGTCTCAGGTTTACAATCATGTTCAACTTACACCAGCTCGCCTGCACTCTGACTATTTTTTCGATAACCAGGGCTATGCTGTTTTTTTATCTACTTCACTTGCAAGTGTGATCTATGTTTGCAACTATTGTACATTGGTTGTGCTTAATTTGAAAACTGTATTTTTAGTGACTTATGACTGGTCTTTAAGGTAATAACGGCTTTATTTGTTGATTTCAGGAAATGTACTCTCTTGTCCATTTTTTGGCGGAAAATGACGTCGCAGTTGTCCCTACCTGTTGGGTGTGCAATGGCTGCACGGCATGGCCACCCTACAAATCAAATCGGTTGATGATGGCAATTAGAGAGCGTGAAGAGCTTTCGACTGACTGGGCCACATTCTCCTGTCAGGTGATGGCATCATGTTGTAAGTATAGCAGGGTGTCTAGCAACCGGGAAAACCGGGAATTGTTAGGGAAATTTTAATTACCGGGAAAAATCAGGGATATTGTCAAAAATCAAGCCCAGTCATGGAAAATGAGCTGGAAATGCCATTGAGTGCCCTGAGCAAAGAGTTGAGAACCTTGGGGCAGAGAAATAGGCAATAAATTCTGCTTAGAGCGGAGCGCGGACTCTGCTCACCCAATGTAGAGTGTGCTAGAGCACTGCACGAACCAGAATTTCTAGACCCGGCCCAGTAGAGGCACGGCCCGGGTTTGGCCCGAGCCTAATAGAATATTTAATTTCCGGGCCCGGCCAGACTTGGCCTTGAAGAGACACGGCTCGGGCCCGGCCCGGACCCGACAGAATTTTAGACAGAAGATTGAGCCCAGCACGAGCCCGACAAAATTTTTGTTTTCTTTAATATAAACCTGAGCTGGCCCAATCCTCACAGATTATATACATGAGCCCGAAAAAGTTGGCAGGCTTTAACCTAAAAGCTGTCTAACCATAAAGCGAGCATATTTGATTTAATGAACAAAAGTTTAGGGTGCATACAAGCTTGTGGTGGTTAAACATTTGACTGGTGTGCTCGGCTTTCTTGTTTCAGTGACATATGAAGATGCAAAGTACAAAGAAAAAAAATTCGGGAGCGACGTCCGACCTAACATTGAATAATGAAGAGCGGGAGAAGAGAAAAAGGAAGAGACTGCAGCATACTCTTTCTTCATTTGAGGATGAGGACTTCTATGACCAAGGTGTATGCACCTAAATTTCTGCAACACCTTTGTATTCGGGATTCATTTGCCCTCCTTTTTCATCAAGCTTGCCTCTTATCCAGGAACGACGTAACACTCAGCCAGCCCCTCAACTTCCAGAACGTGCACCAGAGCCCAAGCAAAAACGCACACGTGTATGTTTGCTTTTTGTTGCTGCAATTTCTTAACGCTTTCCAGCATTTAGATTTTTTATTTTATGTGATTAGCCTCAGCTTGGTTAGCCGCAATTGTGATAATGGATGGTATCCATATTGTTTATTGAGCACCTGCTGTTTTGGTGTTTCTTTTAGAGCGCAGCTCTTAGGTGCCCGTTTCCGGCTTGAGTGGTGTCGCCGTCACCGTAACCGCGGCGACGTTTCGGCAAGGTTACGTTTCGGCACCATGCCAAATTGTCCTCGCGGGGTCACGTGACCCCCGTCAGGAGGGTCACGTGACCTCACGGTTACGGCGACACCGCTCAGAGGGAGGTGTGGCAGGGAGGAGGGGTATACCCTTTCCTCGGGACCCTTCCCTCCTCCTCTAGAGCTGCACTCTAATTTAGCGTTACAGGGAGTTGTAAACGGCTTTCATTTTTTTATCTAGTCATTTTTAATTTTACAAAGCTGCTAGTTGTGGTATGCTTCCTCGCACAAGGACAGTTATAGCCTAAGGGATGGTGAAGTGGATATTTTTAATTTGACGGTGCATATGTTTGCTTTGTATTGCTGCAACCTCATGTTTGCATAATTCTGCTGTACTAGTCATTTTTATTTTACAATTTAATTTATTTTGTTTATTTATCTATGCTTTCTGGTCAAAGGATTGATTAGAATGCTTGCTGTTTGTGCACTCTAACCCTAGCACTTTTTATGAACCTGTCCTCTGCTTTATATGTGGAATGGTTTGGGCAGCGTTAGGATTGACCACTTCTTAAAGAAAGGTGGTACATTTTGTTTTACACCACCGAGCACTCTTTGGTGTAAGGTACATTACCATATAGCTGAATGACACAATCAGCTATACACGTTTGCAAGCAGTCATGTTTCCAAAAGTAGTCTAGCCACCATGGGTAGGGAAACGTGCTCTCAGGGTACCAATCTGTCAATTAGGTTAGTGACGCTTTAGCAAGCCTTCATAATCGGATTATCTGGGGTGCACCCGAGCTGGAAGATGGCAGCGCGCAAGGGCCCGCCATTTTGCAGACTCTGTCTCATTTTTGTTAGTGAGAGAAAACAAAGGCTTCTTCACTATCATCTAGGAAAACCACATGTCCAATATTATCTCCATTTAAATCTTTATGAAATGGATCAGCAAACTGCTAACCCTAGCTGACAATGTAGGCGCAAACGACAGCGCAGTTGCTACTACGGCTTCAGTGCACCAAACATCAATTTACTATGTCAGGTGCATTGTTACGTTTTCTTTGTTTTTTCCATGCACAGTCAGTCCTTGACTTGAGCAATGTCTTCTCCAAAAGTTGGTTCAGCGGTGTCCGCATGATTGGCACAGACCTGGATGTGCACGTTTCTCATGGTTCACCTCTGTTAAATAATAATGGCATTGTTTGCACAATGTTCACATACTCAATGGCTTATTTATGTACTATTTAGTAGACCTCGCTGCATACTAATGTTCCTGAGATATTTATTCCTTTGAGAAAACTTGGCTTTAGCGTAGGTTGCAGTGGTGCGGATGTCGTCCGACACGGAGCAGACAACACTCAGGCCAGTCTGTTTGCGTCGTCCTCGCAGGGGTAGCATATCATCATTTGTACCATGGGATTGGTCATGTCTCCTCCGTCTCTGCCATTGTTGCCTGTAGAAGCCGATGTTTCGGGTTTTATTTGGGCTATGTTTAAAGCAAAATTGCATAGGAAATATTCCACCAATGCATGAAATAAAATAGTTATTTTTATATTTCTTTTTAAATTTATTTTTTATTTTTATTTAAAGTCTTATAATTCCAAAAGTTTTGGAATTAAGCAGAGTTGCCTTTTAACAACAAATGGCTATAGCTAAACAGGGCACACAAGTGAGGAGCTTTTTTTTTTCTAAAAAGGCGAAAACCACATGAAGCAAAACAGATAAATTGGTATGTTTGCTTATCAGTATAGCTTTGAGCCATGTGCCGCAGCCACCTCTGCTGTGGTTTTTATAGCGTACTCTGACCGATTTCACTGTAGTAGCATTTGAGATCGATGGACCAACGAATATAGTTCGAATTCATACAAAAATTTGCTTGGTTTCAGTTTTCTGGATTTGGCTCTTTTAGATGAAAGGAAACTGTGTCCTGGTGAAGCATGTGACAGCAGCCCACATAAGCTCACTACAGTGGAGTTTTGTCCCATGCCTCGCTCCCGAGCTATCTGGCTCATTGACAGGGTGTCTAGCACCTTGGAAAAGCTGGAATTGTCAGGAAATTTCGGATCATCTGGAAAAGTCCGGGAATTGTCAGGGAGATAATCAAAAAGTTAGCTAAATCAGGGAAAATGGCCAGGGCGAGTAATGCGGTGGTGTGCGACGAAGCCAGGAGGGTCGTGCATTGACGTGGCTGTGCTAAATACCATTGCCCGAAACTTTGTAAGTCTTTGACTTCTTGAGCAACATAAAGACCGATTTCAATAAATTGTTTTAAATTGTGAGTGGTGTTCACTTATGAGGTGTTTAGTAGCAGTTCGTACCACATCTCCAAACTTCTGTAATGGACAGGGAATTTAAAACCTGGAAAAGTTGGGGAACTTAAAAGGAGGAATTTGCTAGACACCCTGGCTGATTTCATAGTTACCGATGTCTGCCAAGTTATGCTGAAGTAGGGCATGAAATTGTCGATATTTCACTGTGGTAGCTGACATTGTGTTGTAATTATATACTTTTGAAACAGGAGCTGTGCGCACCTGCTTTAAACAGAAGGCAGAAAACAATGAGCCAGCCATCATCGTGCAGGAAGCCGACGCCAAATGGGCTGCTGCTGAATCGGTCAGGCATGCACCAGCTAGGACCAAGAAAATGGTAATATGATATTTCTAATTTTGCTTAAACTCCCGAAAAATACTTTTGCATCCTAAAACAAGCCCAGATTTCAAACAAAGGCATTAGTCTACTTTACATAAAGACATTTTTAAGTATTAAGAAATTTATTTAGCCAATGAAAGAACACCATGTTATGACATTGTCTGCAATGAGCTTGACATTGTAGAAAATATGTGGCTCATTGACATTGCCCTTGGGTCCGGACAGTTCATCAAACGCCGTTTCATTGAACATTGTTTCATCGAAGCTGTTTCATTGAACGCAGTTTTATCGAACGCTGTTTCATTGAACGCCATTTCATCGAAGTTGTTTCATTGAACGTAGCCTATTTGAGCAGTAGAAATATTTTTCTTTTTAGTGCCGGGAGGATAGCAGTGTTTTAATATTTATTGTAACTTATAAACTTATATATATATAAAAGGAAGGAACCTTTTTTTGTCACCTTCTATTCTTTTTTTTTAGTAAATGATGACTTCTGTTAATGAGGCCAATAAGACACGGTAAAGCGCGATCCAAACCAACGCTTCTTTTTGCGCCTGTAGGTCGTGCGGCTGCGGATGTGACGTATTTTCGTGACGTCGCGCCGCTTCTTCGCTCCTTCCGGGCGCGCATAAAAAAGTTGGTTGATTTCAACTTCTTTCTCAACGCGCACAAAAACGCGTGGTGACGTAGTAGGGCGCTCCTGTGTCCCGGCCAATCGGTGGAGGGCGGCTCCGCGTTTCTCGCCGTCTGGCTGCCCTCTCCTCCCCCCCCCCTTTTATTCTCTTCCAACATGACAACGCGATTTCTCTCTTTCTCTCGCCGTCTGGCCGGCCAGTCTGTCGCAGTTGCACTTTGCTTGTGCGCTCGTGCCCGCGTGCGCGCTTGCCCGAAGTTTTGCCCGTCCAAACCAAAGCGCACGGTTCTGACTCAGAAAGCGCGCCCGGAAACAGCAAAAACATCAGGAAATGCGTCACATCCGCAGCCGCACGACCTACAGGCGCAAAAAGAAGCGTTGGTTTGGATCGCGCTTTACACTCGCGACACTTTTAAAAGCTGTGATCATCAGGTGCAGTGATGAATGCACGTCCATTCAAAAGCGTATATATATCTTCGTCCTTGAAGAGACCTATTCTGCTTCAAGACGAAGCCGTCCTTGAGGCAGTGATCTGTCTCCGTGGCCCATGATACGGGGAAAAGAAAAGACGTGTCTCCTCTCTTTGTTAATTTATTATTTATATTTATTAGTAGAAGAACATCTATGTTCTTAAAAAGAAAGCTATTCTCTTAGGATAAAATGAAAACAAAGTTAAATCTACAAATACAAAATAAAAAAGGTGCTGCAGAAAATAGCTGTTTCCCTCTTAAGGGGGGACACTACCTGGAGAAAAAAAGATTCTTAAAAAAACATTGATTTTGAAAAATTACATATTTACATCCATCTACATCCAGAGAGTATTCCCAGAAATTTTCACTAGTTTACACTGCATAGTTAATTTTTTATAAATTATTTTCTGTCCACCAAAGCTAAAGAAAAGGTAGGGTTTGGAGCACTTTGAACACATTTTTCTCCGTTCCACTTTTTTGTATAAATTCCATTTTAGTCAATCTATCGTTTGAGAATGGAAATACAGGCAAGGCTCATTCTTCACTTTTCCTGACTGAAATTTAGTAAGGAATGCGCCTATGGAGTTTGTTTGTCACTTTACGGATGTCTTTTATAAAAAAATGTTGACATTTTGTCGGAGACACAGTAGACCAAAAAGTTGACCAATTTCGCAGAAGAGAAAATTGATAGAAATCAATTACTTTTTACAAAAGCCTTTCCATAGGCGCACCTCCTAGGCATTTTGTTACATATCTAGCAAATAAAAATCTTTAATATTGTGACAGTTTTCTGACGATAGATTAACTAAACAGTGTAGGGGTGTTACTGATAGAAGCTGCCCTAATTTCCTTCCCACTCAACCAGCAGACCTAAAATTTTGTCATGCACCCTCTAGCATGACCACCAGCCTACCCTGTAAATTTCATTAATTTTAAGCCAAGGGTTCAAAAGTTGACCCTCCCAGGGGGTGTCTCCCCTTAAAGGGGCACTGACACATCAAAATCATATTTTTTTTTATTATCCGAAACGGTCGAAAACGATGCCGGGACATTACCCTCAAAATTTGAAATTTGGGAATTCAGTATTCGTGAAGTGAAAAAACAATTTCCAAATGCCGAATTCGAAGTTCCCGCGCGATCGGCGCCGGTGCCTTGACGTCAAAAATTGCGGAGACCTGAGAGTCCCCTTTCCTGTCACCACTCCCTGCTGTTGCCATGGCGACCCAAAGCGAGGAGGAAAGGAGCGAGCGCCGGCTAGCGCCGGCGTTGCGGCGGACCGGTTTTGAGCGGTGTCGCCTGTTTTCCGTTGGAGGATACAAATCCAGGAGACGGCACCACAACGAACTCCCGATTTTTGGTATTTCAAAAAGAAGGGCCGTAGTGCGTTCGCAATTGCGTTAAAAAACATGTTTTAGGATTGCCGTCATTAAATGTTATAAAGATGCCGCCTACAAAGCTTCTAAATTTCCTGATTTTTGACGTCACCGATCAAAAGAAGCGAGGAGGCGGGAGGCGGGAAAATCAAACGCCGAAAATAAAAAGGCGCGCGTGCGCGCGGGAAAATTTTTTTTCGCGATGCGGTTTTTTTTGCGTGTCTATGGCTGCAACTTGCATCGTTTTAGACAATAAAAATAAATACGACCTTTGGGGTGTCAGTGCCCCTTTAAGAAAGTGCCTTTCACGCATGAATAAATAGAAGGTTGAAGTGGGAAAAAGTGAGTGGCCGAGAACAGCCGCCTACCTTGCCAGAAAAGAATAAGTCGCATATCCACTGTCTTCTGTGGGTAGGTCACACTTTGCGGTAAAAGTCTAAACTGGATGAAAAGAATGGCTTGTGCATGCAAAGAAACTGGTGAAACTGCTAGGACAGATGTAGGCATTTCTTTTTTTATCTTGATGACACTCTCTGCCCTGAAATAGGCACCCATTTTCTGAATGCAACCAACTTTTTTGTGTTATTTTTTTGCAGGAGCAGTGTGCCTCTTCTCAGGAGTGACTGAGGGGCTGCCACAAGGGGAGAAGGCAAGCATGTTTCTGATTACAAGGATGGACAGTTGGGCTGGGCTAGTTGGTAAGAATTCATGTTAAAAAACGGTGCGAAAACCAGACAAAGGAAAAAGAACACACAGTGCCTTGTCCTGTGTGTTTTCTTATCCGTGCATTTTGCGCTGTTTTTCAGCATGTTTCTGCCTTGATTTTTCTGTTAGTTTTAAATGTTAGTAGTTGGTTACTTTGATCCCAGTTGGAAGCATGGAATTGGTTAACCGTGCTAAATGCATAGAATTGAAAAAAAAAAAAAAATTCATGCTACCTAAATCATTTAAAATGCTTTTTTTTCTAATGATTTCTTTCTCCTTTTTTTACAGGCATCCCATGAGTAGAGTCCCTGTTGTTTGAATTTTTTATGTCAATTTGTAATATGCATATGTTACCTTTAATTTCTATTCATGCATACATTTTAGCCCCAGCTAGTGGTTTGTTTTATTTAATTTATGTACACATTAGTGTGGTATTTTTAGAAGATTTAAAATTTATGTTCTTTTTCTAGTCATTTTTGGTTTATTGCCTCCGTTATTTATTTATATGTCCTAGCCCAAGATCGGGTGTAATTTGAGATATATTTAGAATTTTATTTTAGGCTACTTGCTTTATGTTGCTGGGAGTTTTAATATTTTACATTTTTATTTTTATGCAGATCAGCCTTGTAATTTAGTGTGTTCTTTACAATTTTGTAGATCTAATAGCTTGTAAGAAACAGAAGAATTCTCTGGTACTTGTAATCATACCTCGGCAAACCTCACTCATGAGGGCCCACACTCACCCTCACTCACCCTCATCTTCACAGGTGAGGTGAGGGTGAGTGAGTTTCTGAACCAGGAAAATTCATGAGTGTGAGGGTGAGTGAGGGCCGTGAGTGCTGTGAGGGCCGTGAGGGCCGTGAGGGCTGTGAGGGCGGTGAGGGCCGTGAGGGCCGTGAGGGCCGTGAGGGCCGTGAGGTTCGTAAGGGCCGTGAGGGCCGTGAGGGCCGTGAGGGCGGTGAGGGCCGTGAGGGCGGTGAGGGCCCTGAGGGCCGTGAGGGCCGTGAGGGCCGT